CTCTCTCTCTCTCTCTCTCTCTCTCTCTCTCTTTCTCTCTCTTTCTCTTTCTCTCTCTCTCTCTTTCTCTCCTCTCCCCCCCCCAAGCGTCTACATTTAAAAGCCTTCCTATCGTAATATATTGATCAGTGTAATTAATTTCCTATCTAAGCGTGTTTGCTGTTATGTTGAGCCGTGAAAAGATATGGAAAGTTCTGACGAGGGTTGATCCATCCTGTTATTTCTGCCTGTTTTAGAGTTAATGGCTATGCCTGTTTCTTTTGTTCCTTGCTTTCTTTCAGAAATGATTTTTACTTTTATCCTAAGATGTGTCTTTTTTTCTTTTAGATTAAAAAAAACCCCAACACTTTTCGGTCTGTGTTAGGGGCCACCCTTTTGTTGCAGTGCGACTAAGAATCGCGCATGACAAATAAACTAAAATGGCACGATTTTGTTCTGTCGAGGACATGTGGCCATGTTAATGAACCGCGCCTAGTGTCATGCACTGACAAGTTTTACTTCAAAATCCATGGCCTGAACATTCACCAGATATCAATCCAACTGATAAACTGTAGGACATTTTCAAATCGCGTCCAACGTGCCAGGTCAAGTCAATCCCTGCTCATTTCTTAGTTAGAACAAGCGTTGAAGAGTAGAATAACATTCCTGAACACGGCTATTTCAGTCTCTGCGTCTACACCTCTCTTTACTGTAAGTCAAATTGTCAGAAATGATTTCCCTTCTTAAATTCAATGAGTTATGTATGTTTTTAAAAATGCTGAAACAATCAAAGTTTCTTCGGAGTTGGTTAATATCAACCAAAAGGTTATCTTCAGTGTCAGATGAAAGAGTCTCATTTTGGTTGCTGGGTTGTTTGTTTTTTCTTTCCGTTCTTCTTCTAACCTCTGGGTCTAGTATTTTGCCATTGAAATAACATGCGTAGCAGAGTGTTGAACTCACAAACTACTAGTAGAGAACACTTATCGTACACCCTCAGTCTCAACGCCATCAGCCCAGGCAGTGGTCTCGCTGGGTTACAGTTACCCCAGCCTGGTGTGACTCAGGCCCTCCTGCCTGCCTGGCCTGGCGTGACGGTGCTCAAGGCACGCGTGTCGTGCCGGTCCGTCGTTCTGCCGCTTGTCGCCTCTCCGCCCGCCACGTGACGCCTAGCGGACTGGTCACGGACCAGGCATTTCAGGCCCCGCTCTGTCTCTACATTATTAATTAATCTCTATGCTAATGATGTACGTGTCGCCGCCGCATAATTAATTAGAATGTGTGGGTGGT